TACACGTCTAGATTGTGTGTTTATGGTTATTTTCCACGTCCCTACGTTTTCGCTTAAGCGTGAGATGCATACATCTATAGAAGCACTATATCCACTATAGAATGCTATATAGGGCATTGAGATAGGGAAGGGTCGGACACCTCTGCCTACTGAACGGCTAGTGGAGGGTTCTACAGGGGAGGAGGAGGAGACTAAGCCTTAGGAGTCACGGTTATTACCTATACTTAAAGTTTATAGGCTTTATACTACTATATTTTAGAGAAAGAAGCGTCCTAGTAGTTAGCTAGAAGCTAATATTATTATCTATCTTATCTAGCTCTAACTAATCTAGCTTTAGCTAATCTATATTATCCTCCTATACCCCTTCTATATATAGTGGTGCCTATAGGTCTATAAACACATAGTTACTATCTATCTACTTATAGTTAATACCTATATAGCTATAAGGGTCCTTATTAGATAGATATATATAGGGCTTACCCTAAGTAGCGAAGTTAGTCTTCTTTATATACTTATCTATTATAGAGAAGTTATTCTAGCACCTAAGTATTTACTTATAATGCTTTTACATATCCTTCTTAGAGAGAGGGATATTATTAATAACGATATAGTCCTTATTACTATTAAGTAGTAATGCGTTCTAGTAGCTACTTATATAGCAGTGGGTACTAAGCTAACGGGCCTACACGGTCTTGTAGAGCCATGTCTTGCTGAAGATATAAAGGGACTTAGGACGCGCTAGGCATGGGGACGCGTAGAGGTTTTCCAATAGCCAGCTCTTAATTTCCTAGGGTAGGACCTAGGCTCTACCTATTAAAACGGGTGGCATGTAGACCGGCATAGGCGGCTGGAATATGTTATCCGTATAGGCCCGGATGTTCCCGTAGTAGAGAATTAGATCACGTGGCGCCTTGCTGCTAAGACGCGAGAAGAAGCCAGACCTGTCCTTAAGGGCCACTACATCCTTCCACATTGTGGACTTGGCCTCCTACTAGAGAGCCTTAGGCTCCTACATATCGCTGCTAATGTGCTTCACACTACGCTTGTTAAGATACTGCTAGACGGTAAGATGGCTCTTTGTTTTTTAAATGTTGGGGTGATATTGACCGATATTGAAGAACTTGGTGTTCTTAATGTTGCGCTTCTGCGGCCACTTGCCGATCACGTAGAAGTGCGGCGTCCCGTCCTTATGCTCCTCTTACACTGCGTAAAAGTGCTTAAAGCTGAAGGATTCGATGCCGTTAAGGAAATCCTGCATAGGTAGGAAGCATTTAGGGTACGTAAGGAATACCGACTTTGCTGCTAGCCGAAACTAACGTCCTATAGACTCTATAGGCGTTAACGGTATGTCGTTGTTATCGTTAGAGGTCCCTGAGATCACTAGGCTTAGTGCTTCTTTAAAGATATCCTTAAGCTGCCTAGCCGGCGGCGGCTAATGGTCTTGCGACTAGTCACGGTCTTGCGACTAGTCACATGATGGCATTATATAAGGAGTTATCGATAGCTAGTCTGGCTGCGCGGAGGAGATGTTGTTAAACATTTGCGTGGGGTCCATAGTGGTCATTGTGAAAGAAAGAGAAGGGATGAAGGACATGATGGGACACTCTAATGTTGGTGTCCTGGCCGTCTTATATGTCAACCGTTGCCGCCGGTGTGACCCTATCCGAAATCAGGCTGCTAGGCAGCGGACACTATGGCGAGCTTTTTTAATATTACTAAGTCTAGGATATTACTAGCTTTATATATTAAGGTACTATTTAAATTTAATACTTATAAGTTCTAATTAAAGAACTAGTTTACTAAGTTAGCTACCTTAGTACTAGTAGTAGTACTAGGCTACTATTTATAGTAGTATATATTAAAGTCTCCTATAACTAAAGTTCTTTTTAGTATATTTTACTAATATAGTGCTTTTATAATATAGAGTTTATTATTATCTTAATATATATTAAGGAAGTAATACCTTATAACTATTACTTTTACTATATCCTAGTATAGGGTACTATAAAGGTACTAGACTACTAGTTATTAAAGTAATTTTAAAATATAGGTAAGTATATATAGTTATATATTAACTCCTTTTTCTACTAACTATTACTATATAGGTATAATATAAGTATAGTCCCTATATATTATAGTCTTATATTTCTTTAAAAACTATAGCTTTTATAAGAATACTATATTAGCTTTTATTTCTTTAATAAGGGCTAGTATATAGTTATATATACTATTAGCTTTAGTAATATTAGCTTAAAATATAATTAGTTATCCTATTATTTAGAAGATTTTAAGGCTTTTTCTATAGCTAACTAACTATATCTACTCTTTTAAGTAGTTATAGGTATAGGGGATTTAGTTTTAGTAAAGGATAATATTATCTTAATATTAAAAAAGAGGCCTCCTTTATTTATAGGGATAATTACTACTATTTATATTATCTAGTCTATTCCCTATTTATTTATAGCTACTTTTATTATAGGCTCTCTAGGGGTAGTAGTATCTTTAGCTTATTTTAAAGGGTTACTACCTATATTATTATCTACTATACTAAAAGGTATAGGTACTATTAGTTAGGTAAGAAGGGAGGGATTAGGTTATTATTAAGTAAGTTAGCTTTAGATTATATTCCTTAAGAGTATAGCCTTAAATATAGTAGTTCCTTTTCTATATAAGGTCTTAAGTTATAGCTTAGTAGGCTTATTAAGGTTACTACTCTTATTAATTTTAGGTTTTATAGGGTAGTTCTTATTATCTACTAGGTATAGTTTATAGTAGTTAGTATATTATAAGGAGGTATTATATTACTAGGTTTTATATCTAGCTTTACTATAGTTATAGTAAAGTTATTAGGCTAGATAAATATATAGGTTATACTATTATTAGTATATTTTATAAAGGTAAATCTTAATAAGTAGTTTTATTAGCCTTACTAGCTTACTATTAAAGACTTAGAAGGGTAATACCTTTAAGGCGAATTTAATAATAATTATCTAATAGTCCTACCCCTTTATAATATAGGTAACTTAGTACTACTTTAAGGTAGTTCCTATAGTAGTCTTAATAGTATCCTTAATAAGGAGGGAAGTATTAATAAGGGTACTAATCTAGTCTATAATAACTTATAAGACTAACTTAAGTATATAAGTAGTTTAAGATTTAGATTTTTTAATATAAGTTATATTAAGTAGTTAAGATAACTAAAGGTTATAATTAAATATAGCTATATTAACTTATTAGTTTCTAGGGGTAATAGTAATACTAGAAGGTATTTAAGAAATCTAGTTAATATCTTTAGTCTTAATCTAATATACTTTTATAATTTTTTAATAAATATAGTAGAGGTTAATTAATTATATTTTAGCTCCCCTTAGGATCTTAATAAGAATTTATTTATTTAGCTAATAAGGTCCTTAAAGTCTACTTTATAAACTAGTTTATCCCTTTCTAGTAATTAGAAGATCTCTTTATAGGTTTTAAGGTTTAGCTAGCTATTAGTATTATTATTACTATTTAAGGCTATAGCTAGTACTAGTACTAAGTAATTCTAAGGTTCCTTTAGTAGTTATATCTCTATAAGATATTAGGGGATTTAAGGTTCTAACTATACCTAGAGTAGGTATAGGTTTATTATATTTTCTAGAGTTAATAACCTTTTTAATAGCTATACTAATAATATCTTAGTATCTTTATATTACTTTAAAGTCTTTTAGCTTATTAAACTAGCTTAGAGATATATTTAAGGTAATAGCTAGAACCTTTCTTATTTTATAAAGAGATTAGTATATATAAAAAGCCTAGTTAAAGGTAGCCTTTATTAGTATAGTAAAGTAGGTAGTAGGGTTAATAAAGATAAGCTTTAGTATAGGTTAGTAGTTATTATTATTATTTTAAACTCTATATCCTTAGGGGTTATCTCTAGATTATACCCTTTTATTAGAGGTTAAACTATAGTCTTTCTAAAGGGCTATAAGGTCTCCTTAGCTTAGCTAGAGGGTTAAATATTTAGTTATTTAGGAGGGGATAGGCTTTATTAGCCTTAGGGCTAGTGGCAAGCCTATAGTATTAGCCTGTATAGCTAATTAGCTATATAGGAAAAGGGGGGTTTTTAGTGTTTATTAGTTGTAAGGTAATATCTTGCGTGGGGCACTAATAGCCCCATAAATAAAGAATTTAATAGAGGAGAGAGTTGTGGGTTAGAAAGGACAACAAGGCAGCGAAGGATAACGTGGCCAAAAAGTAATCCAGGCCTTGCTGTCCTGTGTATCTAGCCACACTTCCAACAGTTATAAGCTACCGTTCTTCACGAAATTACCTGCGGTTAGGGATTATTCTGCCCGGTGACGCTATTGCTGGTCTCGCTAGTTTGTTGAGCGAAAGACGTTGGGAGTGACACGGACTGGGTCGCGGATCACAGATTCGAGCATGATATAAGCTCTGGGCTCAGTTAGCTAGATAGAATCTACACATCCTTCACCTCGCAGTTTTGAATCTATCATACCTCCTGCTGCTATCTCCACACGTTTAAAAAATTCTGCGTTTGCGCTGCTGGGAGTTCACTCACCCCCTTCACGGATGGTCAAATACCCATCGCCAATGCAATGTACTGACAGCTTGGGTTGGTCAATGACCGTCCGTTGCTCATCACGGCTACGCGTTTTCGAGTGTCAGTGAATTCCCTGGTCAGCATACTGTATGCAGTGCGAGCCAAACGGCGCCGCGCGAATGGGCAGCCCTCGTTGCACAAGCGAGTGACATATTCGGGGCCGCTGAGGGAGAGGCTGAGATACACGGGCGCTTCGCAGCGTATGCCTCGAAATAGACACGCCGAGCTGCGCACCAAGCTTCACAACGGCAGGACCTTGCAAATTACACGGGCGCTAAAACAATGTATATAGGCTCTGTTGTAACCGCCACGTTAACGAAGCCCGTTTACTTTATTTCCTTCTCTTTTTAACCAATTTTGTTGACTTGCACATACACTGAAATATGAACTACTAGCCATGGACGGAAAGACGCCGCAACATGCGGTCGACATGTTCTGGAAGAGCTTCCACACCAAAGCGCCTGGTAAAGGTAAGCTGATATAGCCGTGCTAAATCCGGGGTTGCCAACAGGAATGTGGACACGCAAGACTGATTCGAGATAGCAACCGCCGTGATCCCGAACCGGAAACGAAGGAGGGGCAAAAAGGCCGCCGAAGCACCGGCGCCGACCGGCACGCAGAGCGCCGAAGCCTCGTACGAGGCGGCCGCCGCCACCTGCCGGGCCAAGGTGGCCAAGATTGTGCAGGACTGCCGGCGCGTGAACCGCAAGTACCGCGATCCGCACTTCAACATTGAGTTTGACCTCAAGCTGAACCAGCGCGAGTGCCTCGAGTCGCTGTCCAACGCGGTGCCGCCGGAGGACGAGAGCGAGCCGGCACCGCCCGCGCCGGGCGCGCAGTTTCTGCCGCGCAGCGCCAAGCGCGTGACCGAAATCTTCACGCGCCCGCAGTTTTATATCAACGGCCCGACTGCCAATGACGTCAAGCAGGGCAACGACGGCGACTGCTGGCTCATGGCCGCCCTGTCGGCGCTGAGCTTCAAGGAGGGCCTGATTGAGCGGCTGTGCGTGGCGCACGACCAAGACGTCGGCGTGTACGGCTTCGTCTTTTACCGCGACGGCGAGTGGATCTCGGAGATTGTGGATGACTTTGTGAGTATTGCTTTGCGCAATTCGGGGGTGATGAATGAGGTGGACGCGGGCTGGCTGTAACTGACGCGAGACCCGGCAGCTGTACCTCACCAAGGCCGACTACGACGATCAGCAAAAGGATCGCATCGCGTTTGACGAGCTGGACTATAGGAACCCGCAGGAGGCATACAAGCGCATCTTTCAGTCGAATAGCAACTCGCTGTACTTTGCTCAGTGCGAGCACCCGCAGGAGACGTGGCTGCCGCTGCTGGAAAAGTGCTATGCAAAGGCGCACGGCGATTATGCCGCCCTCGAGGGCGGGCTGAGCGGCGAAGGCATCGAGGACCTCACCGGCGGTGTTGCATCCGAGTTCTTTGCCACTGATATCCTCGACAAGGTAACGCCCCCCATCCTCCTACGCACTGTGGCAGTCTAACACTGTGCAGGACGAGTTCTGGAAGCAACTGCTGCTGGCGAACAAGGAGTTTCTGTTCGGCTGCAGCACCGGCATTTTCGGCAGCGGATTTGGCAGCCAGAAAGGCATCATCGAGGGCCACGCCTACTCTGTGCAGCGCGTCGTCGAGATGGACGGGAAGCGCCTCGTGATGCTGCGCAACCCGTGGGGCAAGGGCGAGTGGAAGGGTGCCTGGGCAGACGGCTCCAAGGAATGGACGCCCGAGTGGATGAAGAAGCTGGGCCACAAGTTTGGCGAGGACGGCGAGTTCTGGATCTGCTACGCGGACCTGCTGCGGCACTACCAGTGCTTTGAGCGGGTGCGGCTGTTCGGCGCCGCGTGGAACGTGTCGCAGATCTGGACGACGCTGCACGTGCCGTGGGTGCAGGAGTACAACGAGACGTACTTTTGCTTCTCCACGACGCACGCGGGGCCCGTCGTCATTGTCGTGTCGCAGCTGGACGAGCGCTACTTCCGCGGCCTCGAGGGCCAGTACTCGTTCCAGCTGTCGTTTCGCGTGCACCGGGCCGGCCACGCGGGGTACATTGTGCGCAGCGAGACGGCGCACCGCATGCGGCGCTCGGCCAATGTCGAGCTGGACCCGCTCGAGGCCGGCGCGTACGAGGTGTACGTCAAGATCAAGGCGTGGCGCGACGACGACGTGCTGCCCGTGCAGGCCACCATCCGCCGCTGGGCCAAGACGAAGCGCGACAAGGTCAGCCGCATCGGCAGGGCGTACGACCTCGCCCACAGCCGCGGCCAGACGGTCGAGACAGAGCAGGAAAAGGCGGCAAGGGAGGGGTATGAGAAGAGAAGGAGGGAGAAGAAGCGCGCGGCGGTTAAGAGCGAGCTGCGCAAGAAGCTCGGTGATGAGTATTATCAGAAGAAAAAGGACTTTGAGAGGAGTCGTGCCCGAGCGGCTAAGAAGAAGGAGAGGCGGAGGGTGCAGAGGGAGGAAAAGACTAGGGTGAGAAAGGAGAGAAGGGCGGCGGCGAAAGAAGTGGCCAAGGAGGTGCCGGAAATGAGGGCAGAGGCTGAACAGAGTCCATCGCAGGACGACACTTTTGAACTGAGCGGCGTCAAGGGGACAGCGGACAAGGACGAAGCTGAACAGGTGGGGGATGAACTGAGGACGCAAGATACAAAAGACGAGGTAGTAAGAGAGTCCAAGGAGCAGGCCAAGAAGGAAACCAAGGACGCGACCCAGGAGCCAAACAATAACAGTCCAGAAAGCAAGGAGGATGAAGACTCGGGCTCCTCAGACTCGAACTCGTCAGACTCAGACTCATCAGACTCTGACACCGACAGCCTCGCCTCCTTCAGCGACTACTCCGACAGGGAGCTAGATCTGCGCGTCGACGCGCTGGCCCGCGCCGACCCGGCGCTGCTCGCCAGCTCCGACTCAGACTCGGACAGCGACTCGGACAACGGGCTGCTGGCCAAGGACCCGTGGAACGCCGTGGCCGTGGTCGGGCTGCGCGTGTACCACCAGACGGCGACGGTCACGCTCGGCGTCGTGCGGCCGAACCCGTACGCCGCCGACGACGACTCGGATGCGGAGGATGACAAGGCGAGGGTGCGCGTCCTGGATGTGGATGACTCGGCCGTGGACGCGAGCCTGCCTGGCGGGGATGTAAGGGAGAAAAAGGACGTGATTATGGGGGTGAAGAGGACGGCGGCGTAGAGAGGATGGGAGCGGACTTGGTGTTGTTTTGAGCATGTAGTATTCACTTGTCTTTCAATAGGCTGTCGTCTCATTTCACCGGGCCGTGTTTGTTCTTTACTATTGTCAACCATTCAAAGTGATGTGCAACATATATAGTCTGCTCTATGCTCCGTCAAACAGGCTGTCGCCTCACCACCGGACCATATTTGCTCTTTAATCGTCCACTATTCAAAGTGCCGCACAATATATACAATCCACTCTATGCCACGTTAAAACAACCCTGTCTATGCAATACTCCCAAAACGCCGTAGAGAACATGCCCAAGAAACAAAATCTTTGCGCACCATTCTTCGCATCCACCCCCCATTTCCCTCTAAGCATCGTAGCCGCCCTTGGAACCGAGAACACCGTCGCCGCCGCTGCTGCTGCGGCGTCTCTTGCCAATGACCTCGACAAACCACTCGGACAGGGTGAAGCCCCAGTGGCCGGCGACGAGCACGCCGCTGACAATGTTGATGAGCTTGAGGAGGAAGACGGGGAAGCTGTCGCGGGACTCGTGGACGGCGAGCAGGATGGGCTCAATGTCGTACTTGACAAAGATGCCGGGGACGGCCGAGTGCTCGTCAATCTCCTTGCTCTGCTCCGTGACGGCGTACTGGTTCGTCTGGATGGTGCTGCTACCGACGCTGTAGATGGTGGGGACGACGGAGAGGTAGTACTGGAACTTGTGGAAGTGGGCGGCGGCCAGGTTGACGGTGCGGTCGAGCGGGTTCACGAGGGACGGGTAAAAGGCGCCGTAGGAGAGCTCGGAGATGACGTGGGAAAAGTTGAATTCTGCAGTAGGTTAGTGGCGGTTCAACGCCGAGCGGCTGGGACTGTCTTGACGTACGGTTGTGGTCGAGGTGCTGGCCAAACTCCATGTAACCGTGTCCTCGGGCGGTGATGTGGAAATCGCCCTGGACCTTGTTGAGGTCGAGAGAGCCGTAGACGCGGCAACTATCGGCGGTGCCCCAGAAGCGCGGCGTCTTGCTCCATTTGGCGCGCTTCTTGCCGAGGGCGACAATGTCGTGGACGTGCTCCTCGCCAAAGCCCTCGTCGTTGTGCGCAAGGCTGGTCCAGCCCTCGCCCGTGTTGACGCGGCCGTTGGCGTCGTGGCCGAGCTTGTGGACGCCGGCCTGGTCGACCCAATGGGACCACATGGTGGGGTCGCGGTGCAGCATCGAGGCGGCGAGGATGCGGTCGCCCGAGGCGTCCTGGACGTTGATGTGGAGGTCGTTGCAGAGCATGTGCACGACGATGTCGAGGTTGATCTGCATGTCGTGCGAGATGCCCTTTTCGACGGCAAAGTTGTGCGTCTCGGAGCCGCGCCACCAGCGGCCGACCTCGGAGCCCATGAGGACGAGGGAGATGAAGACGATGACGACGGTCCATTTGCCGCCGCCGGCGGTTCGGGTGACGTATTCGGGCTTGGATTTGGCTGTGCGCGCACATGTGTGTGTTAGCAAATGAGCAAATGATGGGTGTTTGTGTGTGGTGCAGTGGCAAGGCAAGGGGCCTCGTACGAAAGGCGTCAAAGGCGCTGACGACGCTACCCTTGGCGCCGAAGCTGTCCTCGTCGAGGCCATGTTTTTCGAAGCCGTTCATGGTGGGCGAATGCTGGCTCTGCAGGCCAGAGGGTGCCGTGGCTGTCGGAGGTTGATGTGGAAGGGATCTGGCGCGATTGGACAAGGAGACACGTGGCGGGCTACCTCATAACCAATGCGCAAGTACTGGTCCAGCAAAGAGATGACGGCGATGATCTCGATTGTGTTAGTCGCGGCCAATCGAAGGGCTCGCTGGGGTTGAAGCAGACGAGATGCGAAAGCGCAGTGTGGAATGAAGCCCACGATGCCAGATCGGTCGAGGCTCAGCCGTGCTAGAGGACACCTTGAACTTGACAAGGGAGTTGTTCCAGTTTGGGCGGTCCCTGGGTGCTAGCCGGATTGGGCCAAGCGCGGCGGTAGGTACCGGCTGGTGCGAATATGGTGCGTTGGTACCTGGCGGAGTGGGCCACGAGTTTTGTGCAGCCTTCAAGTACAAATGACATGGGGAAAGACGTACAAGTGGGTTAGTGCTCTGTAAGCCTCTCCTGTCAGGCACTGTACCTACCTACCTCAGAATCGCACAGTTCACTTTCTACAGAGGCGCACAGTTCACTTTTTGTCCATGAAAAGTTTCAACTTGATCTGGACGGTCATGGTCGGTCAACCTTCTTTCCAATGGAGAATCATTTTGCAAGGCTGAGCTGGCGTTTTGACAGCCCGGCAGGCAGCTGAAAGGCGCCCGTGCCTTGGTGCCCGACTACGGTGTGGGCTTGGCTTCCTGTAGCTAACCGGAGTGGCGTCGCAGGCTGTGTCTTTCTTGACTTGCTACGTGTACATCAAACCCATGGCAAAGGTTTCCGGGGTAGAAGCGAAGACGCCCAACGTGTTGGTGATTTATTTTCTTCGGGACTGGCCAGTAGTTAGCGCTCCTCTGATAGTACCAGTACTGGCGCTGGCGGTTCGCTATAGCCCGGTGCCACTGCGGGTTAGCGGAGCGTACCGTTGGCTGCTCGCTCCGACGTCATTCAAGGTCCAGGCAGCTGGCGCCTGTATGGCTTGCGCGCGGCACGGTCAGGAACCTGCACGCTTCGCCTAGCAAGGACATCAGGAAATTTTTTTTTTTTAAAGCGCATGCCTTGTTTATTGGCGCCGAGTCCTCTGTCTGTTCTTTGTACGAACCGGCAATACCGCCGCGCGGTGGGGAGATGTGGTTCCGCTTCGGCCCGCCAAGAGGCAAGAGAAGAGGGGTGAGGGGCAAAGGGGGCAATGGCTTGCAATGGCAACAAAGACAAAAGTCAAAACTGCATCTGCACCGCCATTACTGGGACGCTAAACAACAAACTGCCCGGATGTCCCCCCGCGCACTCACTGCATGACGCACATCAACGGGAAGCCCTACAACCGACGCAACCGGTCGACTGTCGAAGAACCGACCATCCATCCATCCATCCAACCATCCAACCATCATGCCATCCACCCGCCCGCCTCGTGATCGACACAACACCCTCACCCTCAACCCTGCGTCGTGTCCTGGCGACTCGCCTTGGGCTGTCTGAGTGACTTGGGCCCCGCGGCAGTGGCTGTCTCGACTCTCGACGCAACGACACCACTTGACCACGCTATAAACCCTCACAAGTCCTGTTTCACCTCGTGCAGCACGCCGCCATCCTCAGCTCCTTGACTGCTCAGTTACCTACTTGCTACCTGGTTTGCTAGTCAACTACGGAAGTCTCTCTGTCTACGTCGGTACCTATCGGCCTAGACTACAAAATCCAGATCAGGCCCTCCATCCATCACCGTCCATCAGCCTCCATCGACTGCTCACCTGCTGCCTCTCGCAACAAATAGGAGCCCCGCGCCCACGCCGGCCGTGTCCACCCACCCATCCGCCGCTCCCCATCAACCCAGCCACTCTTTATTATCCCTGCGTCTCTCACTTTTTGCTTCCTCCATTCTCCTCCATTTCGTCATTCTTGTCACATACCGCAGCATACCTGGATTTTGCCACACACACACTCACAACTCCCACACTTGCCGACACCACATCCGTCACCTCACCTCACCCGCCACAGCCATGACCCGAATCTACCGTGATGACGACGACGATGACCGTACCGTCCGAGGCAGTACCACTATTACACGCTATAAAGTTGGCCCCTCCAAAAACGTCGACCGTTTCGAACGCATAGAAGTGGAAGACGATACCCGCTCACGCTACTCTTCTGGTCCCCGTCGAGTCTCCAACGAGTTTCTCGACCGTACCCGATCCAACGTTGACCCCACCGAGCGCAACCGCACCATGATGGAATCCGATCGTGAATGGGACCGACGCTCCCGCGCAGACGATATTCGCGTCGAGAGACGAGTCGAGGAATCCTTTGAAGACTCTCGTGGCCACGACGTAGAGCGCTACCGCAAAGAGACCGAGTACTACGCCGCTGAGCCAGCATCTCCTCCTGTCGTTGTCCGCCAGCATGTCCCTGAAGTCCAGAAGATTATTGTCCAAGATGCTTCTTCCTCATCTCAACCCTTCTATTACGACCGAGATCGCCCTGAACCCGGCCCCATAGTTGTCAGAGACCGCCCCATCGTTGTCAGAGATCGCGAAGTCGATCGCGAAGTCTACCGCCGTGGCCCCTATGATGATGGCTACTACTACAGACATGAACGCCGCGAGTTTGGACCCGGGCCCCTTGGTCCCTACCGCGGCGACCCCCGCGACCCCTACTACCGCAGGGACACATTTGCTCGTGATCGCGACTGGGCCATGGCTAGAACGGATGGACATCGCCGCGATGAGTACTACAGCGAGGATGAAGACTACTACGTCAACAGCGGCCGCCGTCACAAGTCCCGTTCTCGTCGTCACCGAAGCCGAAGCCGGTCTCGCACTCGCAGCAAGAGCTCTGACCATCACAAACTTCACCTTGCTGAAGGTGCTCTTGCTGGTGCCGGCGTCACTGCTCTGTTACAGAGCAAACGCGATGAGCATGGAGACCTTCCCGAGAACCGAGGCCGCAAGGTCCTTGCCGGTGCTGCCCTTGGCGCTCTCGGCACCGAGGCACTCAAGAGGGCCCACAGCGCCTATGAAGACCGCTGGGGCGATCGCGACGAGTCTCCCAATCATCACTCTAGAATCAAAACTGGCTTGGGTATCGCTGCCGTCGCTCTAGCTGCTGCCGGCGCTGCCAAGTACTTCCAGGCAAACAAAATCGAAAAGGAAGAGGCCCACCGCGGCCGTAGCCGCACGCGCGGGTACGCCTCCGATGGTTACTACGACTCGCGTTCTCGCTCTCGATCCAGCCGTCCCCATAGCCGGCGCAGAAGTGTGTCCAAATTCGCCAAGGCTGCCCTCGGCACTGCAGCTACCGCTGGTGTACTGCGACACTTGCACAACAGATCCAAGTCTCGTGGCGGTGACTCCCGCCAACGCAGCAAGTCACGTCTCCGCACCGGTGCTAAGATTGCTGGTGCGGCCGCGGCTGCTGGCGTTGCGAGCAAGCTCTACAAAAATCACCAAGAGAAGAAGGAACGCTCCCGCTCCCGATCCCGCGCACGGGGCGACGCGGAGGATGATCGCTCCTATCACCGGCGGGACAGAAGTCGCAGCAGGTCCATGGCCCGATCCCTCCATTCCGATGCTGGGGCTGATAGAGAGCTAGGCTTAGTTGAGTACGGCAACGGAGACCTGCCTCCCGCCCGACGCGGTTACGAATCCGATGGCGAGCGCCCCAGCAGGAGGCGCCGGAGTAGGCGACGCGAACGCGACAACTCGTCATCCGCCTCCGACGACGGACGCAAAAGAAGTCAAAGCCGACTTCGAAACATGGCGGCCGCCGGCGCATCCGCCTTTGGCATCAAGGAGTACAAGGACAGAAAGGATCGTGAGAAGCGTGAGCGCAAAACGAGAGAGCGACAGGACTCACAAGATGGTAAGTTTTATCGAGCCACTTATTGTGCTATTCTTTCTAATTCACAGCAGCATACGATGGGTATGATGAAGGCGACCGCCGGAATGACAACCGCGACCGTCGGAACGACCATCGTGACCGTCGGAATGACAGGAATGACAGGCCGTCTTCGCCGCCACATGCCTCTGGGGGGGCCTATTATCCACCGTATCCAACCACGCCGGCTGCTGGAGGGCCTGGCGACCACCAACCTTACGGTAATCCAGGCGCTGCTCAGTCGCGCGAATATCAACCATACGTGCCCCAGGATTACATGGGCTACGCCCCTCCACCACCACCTGGTCCACCTCCGGCCCCCATCCCTGGTCCGATGACGGGATACCCGCCGGAGCCGCCGCCCGGACCTCCGGAACCCCCTGGCCCGTTTCCAAGTGGTTCCCCTCCTGGCCCAACCGCCGGACCTGTCGGACCAGCACCACATGTGAGTAACCGTACCCAAAGTGCAGACAATGCAAGACCTAGTCCAGAGGGTGCGTTTGCCTCTGCTAAGCGTATCGACACGGACGAATATCCCAGTGCTGACGTTTAGTAGCCCTACTAAATACTTCGCCTTATCGTACTGGTTCAAGGAAGCCGCCAGCCGCTGCGAAATCGGTGTCTTTCATTCCCATGTCGCCCAAGAGCACACGGACGATGGAAATGCACAGACGTCAGCAGGAGCTGGCTGGCGATGGGGATATCTCCACTCACGAAGATGGCATTTCTGCAAATGATCCAGATAGAAGCGTCGCCCGCCAGCGTCCTTTATCAGACATTACGCATAATCGGCCCCGCAGTCGTGGACGTAGTCTCGACTCTGATTCTGACGAACAAGTAGAAGAGATACCTGCCAGATTTGACGACCAAGGATCGCCTCTAGATGGTCGCTCTGCCAGTCACAAACGCTGGCGTAGTCTTTCTGGTGAGTTTCAAAGTAAGCCGCAACGACCGGGCGACTGGGATGTGCAAGGAGCGTGGCATGTGGGCGGCACCAATCAGGAGGCTGTTGAGCGACTAGCACTTGGTGTGACGAATGCGCTTGAGGGCCGTGGAAGCTGGATGCAAGTTCTCGGAGAGGTACTGGGGAGCGGAGTGCTCGGTCCAAACCCCGGCGGCCAAGCACAACAGTTGCAACTGGAAGAGGGAAGGAACCAGGGCGATGAGGAGATGAGGAGGAGACGGAGATGAAGAGGAGACGGAGATGAAGAGATTGATGTACAGAATATGCATGACGAGTAATGACCTGATGACGGGTGGTTTAATATTTGGTAGTTTTGTTCACGCCAATTGTGCTGTGCTTTTTAAATTGATTTTTTTTTCATTATACCTAGTAGTGAGAAACGAGTCGGATAGACAAAAAAAAATGTACTGAAACCAACCCTTTCGTCGTTCAATAGTCGGTCACCGCGGGCATCGCGGGATGATTTTGGGCTCTCTAGTCTGCCCCTACTCCATATTTATATTTATGTTGTGATTTAAGTGGAGATCACAGTACACACAATTAGCTAGAGACCTACTTATAGTAGAAAGCTAGAAAGGGATAGTAGTATATAAATAAAGGAGTTAAGTTTAAAGAAATTAATCCTAATTACTAATAGAATTAGGTAATAAAAAGATATACTAAAGAAGTATAATTAGGCTAATTAGCTAAGCTAGAAAATAGGTATAAAAAAAGAGGAATTTCCCTTTTTAGTTAAAAAAGAATAAAGTAAAAATAACTATAAGTTTTAATATATATTATTCTTTAACTTTACTATATAAAATTACTTTTAGTTATAATTAGTTATTTAATATTTATATTAGCTTATTTATATAATTTATAAGAGTTATAAGTTTAAAAGGTAAATAATAAAAGATACTTTTTATTATTTAAAACTTCTATTTTACTTATAAATTTATTTAAAATATATAAAAATATTCTTAATCTCTTTTTCTTTTTTTTTTAATATATTAACTTAAAAAATAATAACTATTTTAGCCTATTCTAGTCTTAAGCTTAAGGAATTAAAATAATAATATAAGTAAAAACTTTACTTTAAAGCCTATATATTCTTAAAGTAAGTCTAAGGTTATATAGACTTAAACTAGCTTTACTTTAATAGTAATTTATACCTAAAGCCTTATAGGTTTACTTAGTTTTAATATAAAAATAAATACTTAAGTATTAACTATACTAACTTAAAAATTACTTATAAAAAGGTAATAGATTTTTAAAAAGAAATAATAACTATAATTAAAAAGAGGTAAGAAAATATTAGTCTAGTCTAGGTCTAGGTTAGTATTACTATAAACTTTAAGCTCTTTTTAAGAGCTTAAAGAATTACTAAAATAAAGGTAGTAGAATTAAAAGCTATTTATAATTAATATACTCTTAAGGATATTCTTAAAGAATTAAAGGTTATTATTACCTTAAATCCTAAAAAAGTAAGGTAAGAGGTAAGAAAAGAGTATAGGTAAATTATAACTATTAAAAAGATAATATTAAATAGACTAAGTTAAATCTAAATATAGGAAAAAGTATATTAAATAGTATTACTTTACTAAATTCCTAATATAGAAGGATTAATAGCTATTATTAATTTTTTAAATATAATTAAGAAGAAAATAATACCTAAATAGGCTATATTCTTAAAAAGGGATTTTATTAATATAGGTACTTTACTAAGAAATAATTTAATATTAAATTAAACCCTATAAACTATTATAAATATATTTAAAGAAAATATAGAGGAATTAAAGTATAAGAAGTTAACTAAGAATACTTTCCCTATATTAGATAATAAATAAAGGAAGAAATCTAAAAAGTAAGAATATAACTACCCTTATTAGAAGAAAGATTAAACTTACTTATAAAAGCTAGAGAAATACTATATTATCTAAAAGGTATACCTAGGTTCTTCTAAACTAGATATAACTATAAATAAATTCTAAGCTAAGAAAATTAAGGAAATTATAAATAAACCTAAATAGGCTACCTTTAAAGTATTTATAAGTAAAAGAAAGTAGCTATAAAAAGAATATAATATATATATTCTATTTAAAAGTACTCTTAAACCTATAAAGAATATATTCTCTACTATTTATAAAAACTACTACCTATACTATAAAAGTATACTTTTAGATAATTATAGCTTATACTATATTATAAATAATAAAAGCCTTCTTAAGCTAGATTCTTATAAGGAGTTATAAAATATCTTAGTTAGGACTAGAAATTACTAATCTACTATTATTAGTATAGAAATAAGAATTATAAAATATATCTTAACTACCCCTAATAAACTAAGAATTAACCTTTATCTAATAAATATCTATTATATTCTTAGCTTCTATATAAATTTAATCTTAGCTAGTATTTTAAAAGCTAAAACTAGGCTTTAGATTAATAGCTATAATAATACTCTAAAGGAAGGTATACTTAAGAATAATTACTATATAGCTTAACTATATAAGAAGGATAATATTCTATTCTTTAAATATAAACTAATTTAATAATTAGAGAAGCTAGTATCTTAAAAAATAGTCTTAAGTACTTTTAAATATAGTCTTAATTATATATTAAAAGGAATATCCCTCTTTAGAAAAGGGGATAGTTATTTATAGTATTTATAATTAGAATACCTTAAAAAAGAATTATTTAAGGCTTTAATCTAAGAATTAATTAGTAACTAAATTACTAGAATATAATATCTAGATTATAAAATATATAGTACTACTTTAATAAAAAATATTATTAATAAAGAAACTAGTAATATATTTACTATTTAACCTTTTAAGAGAATTAGGTAGGATTTATAAGAATACCCCTTAAGTTATAATAGAATAAGTTTTCTTTTTATAATATAAGATAAATATACTAATTTAATTTATTCTATTCTAACTACTTTTAAAAATACTAAAACCTTTTTCTTTATAATTAAGAACTTTATAATATAGATTAAAAGGCAATTTAATCTTAAGGTTCTTATTATAAGATATAATAATAAAAAGGCTATAATCTATTAAAATACTCCTATAAAGTATTAAAAATAAGTAAAGGAATTAAGAATTAAGATTAAAGCTATACTAGTATATATTTATAAGCTAAATAGGTTAAATAAGAGGTCTAGAAGGATAGTTATTAAGAAAATACTTATCTTAATAATATCTTTAAAACTACCTATAGCCTTATAGTTTAAAGTAGTAAAAATAGCTACCTTCTTACTTAGAAATAGCCTAAGGAAAGTATATAAATATAAATCACTATTATAAAAGATAAATTTATAGTTTAAAGAGAATAGATAAGGTACTAAGTATATAATTAGTAAAAGGATTAGTATAAAAGGATAGTATATATATAGATATTAAGTATACCCTCTTAATTAAGAATAAGAAAAAGGAGTTAATAAAAGAAACTTTAAAGTATACCTTAAAGAATATATTAGTTATTTAGTTAATTATATAGTATTAAACCTATACTAAATATAAATACCTTAACTTAACTATATTATTATAATAAAGAATATTAAATTTAATAAAAATATATTTTATTCTTTAGAAATAAAGAATAAAGATAGGATTACTAAGTTAGAACTAGAGAAGAAGATAAAGTCCTTAATAGAAATAAAAAGTTAAAATCTAACTATAGAATTTAGACTTAAATATTTTCTCTTAATAACTTTATAAGATACTATCCTTAACCTAAACCCTTAAAATAAGTTATAAGATTTAAATAAATCTAAATAAAGTAGTTATAAGATATAAAATACTATAATATCTAATAAATATACTATATAAACTTAAGAAGTAAACCTAAGTAATATTAGAACTTTAAAAAGTAATATACTATTTTTAATATTAGGGGTAGAAATTAAAAATAATAATAATATAGGGATAGTAATAGGTAATAAGATAAATAATATACTCTTACTTAAGGATATATTAGAACTATTTAAGAATATAAGCTAAAAAAAAGATATTAATAATTTAGCCTTAAGGATAAGAGAAAATAACTAAATATATATATATTTATTTAGCCCTTAAATAAGACTAGAATTATAAGATTTATATATAAAAGATACCTAGAAAATAAGAATTTAGCCTTTTATTACTTAAGATAAGGAGATAAATCTATACCTATTTAATAAGGATAAGCTAGTAACTTAGGAAAAGCCTATTAAAAAGGATTATAATCTATATTTATAGAATATAGTTATAAAAGACTTTAAATTATAACTAGAAATTTAGGAAGTAACTATAGAAAGCCTAATCTTTATTCTTAAAGAGACTATTTATAAAAGTAAAAGGATTAAAAGGAAGATTAAAGATAGCTAGGAGCTAGTATAGAAAAGGATAAAATTAGCCTTTATTATACTCTAATTACTAAAGACTATTACTAAAAAGAAGGAGTATATAGCTAATCCTTATTATACTAACCTAAAAAAATATAATAATAAAGAATTATAGATATTATTTATAATACTAAAATATATATTCTAAAATAGATAATTAAATAATAATTAGACTTAGAATATTAAAAAAGATAAGTAGCTATACTATACTAATAATTTACTACCCTTACCTTAAGGGTAGAATAAGATTAAAGGGTATACTTTTAAGACCTAATTTAGAAAAGTAGGTCTTAATAAAATATAGGCCCTTAATAAAATAAAGACTTAAACCTATATATATAAAAATATTAAAAAAGAATATACTTTACTTTTTAAATAGGTATTTATATATAAATTTAATACTAATAAAGTCCTAATTAAGTATAAAGTATAAATCTATATATAAAGGGATTTATAGCTAATTAATAGTTAAAAAGAAATATATATAGCTATATTAATAATATAAACCTTCTAAATAATAATAGTACTTATAGTAAAATATAACCTTAATACTTAATAGTTTAATATTAAAAATACCTTTTTATATACTAATAGATAAGACTTATTAAATAAAGTCCTATATAGGCTACTACTAGGATTCTAAGAAATAATAAATTTACTAGTAGATTTTAAAGAAGTAAACTATAATATCTTACTAAATTAAGTACTTTATAGGTTATAAGACTTACTACTCTTCTAGTATTTAAAATTTACTAGTATATTAATAGAGCTAGGGCTTATATAATATAAAGAAGAATTATACCTTTTTTTTAATAAAGAGAGGTTAATATATATTATTTTCTTTATTAATAATATTAT